GGCATTTTTGTAAACACTCTTTAACATATATTTGCCCAGAAAGTGTGGACTAAGAAATATAAGATGCTGATTTTTTGCCTCAACTGCAAATAGCTTGCAAAATAAAGGCGCTTTTTAGCAAACTTGTCTTGTTTTGTATATTTGAATTTCTCATCTGCTTTTCTTCTATATTTTGCAATATAATAGACAGCACCAGGATGGACAAAAACAGGGAAGACAGCTGATGATTGTACTTGATATAAGTTTCATTGTCTTCAATAATGCAAAAATATTGAGAAACAAAGTTGTCATACAATTTTCTGCAGTGGGTTTTTGTACTTTTTTGTTGAGTTTTAGATTGGTTTGGCTTCCTTAGTGAAAGGCTTGAGTCAATCTTAAAACTGTTAACCAATTTTTTAACTAGTTTTATATCTTTAAAACCCTCCTTTCTTCCACCACCAGATTTTTGTTTGATCATTTTTGTTCGAGAAAAACAGTGAATTACACAACTAACTGTATGAATGTATTTACATTCATACACTGTATGAATGTAAACAGTAGCTATCAAATTGTAGCTACTATTGTGATTTTCCAAATGTTTGTGCATAAGTTTTTTCTCTTATTTTATTATTCTCTTATTTAAGTGTTTGTTTATTAAAGACTAACTTTAAAACCTTACTTTTGATAGGAAGTAGACTAATGCGACGGTAGTAAGACAAGCCATATCACTCTTCAGAATTTTAGTAAATAGGGATAATAGATCCTGCTTTCAAGCAGGCTGGAAAATAAGACTCTGATAAGCTCTTGTTAAATAGTTTTGAAAGTATAGACAACAGCTCCGGAGAACACTTCTGTAAGATTATGACAGGTATGTTTTCAGGACCACATGCTGTAGAAAAGTCTTAACAGGAAATCACTTTAGATACAGAAGCTGGAGTGATTTGAATGTCAAACAATGGATCAACCTGTTTGTTGGCTATATCAAGTAGTTTAGTATATGATTAGTGGAATCAAGAGATAAAATCAATGAAAAGTTCTTAGCATACAATTCAAAATCTGAACCATACAAGAGAGGTGGAACAACAAATTGGCCCATTGTTATTATATATAGTTACTGTTAAAGATTCTCCAGAAGTCCAGAGAGTCTAATTTTTGAGATGAAATACAAGATTTCAGGACCTGAGAAAAGCATGGTTTCTTGCAATAGTCAACAGGCATCTGTTTCCTGGAGAATTGCTTTGCTGATAGATATAAAAGTAATGGTTACTATTGGAAATTGCAGCAGCACAATGAGAGAAAAACTATGGAGAGGAGTGAGGCTTGACTTGGAATTGTCAAGACGGAATAAAAGATTCCATGTATTCATGCCAGCCTGAATCCAAGAAGTTATGTAAGAAGCACATTTGTCAGTAGATAGGGTTGTTAACAGAAAAAGTAAAACCACTATTTTTTAGCCAAAGTTGGAAAACAGGAAACAGCTGTTTTTTTGCTATCTTTATTCTTGTTTTTGATTTTTATCTTAATATTTTTTTTTTTTTAATTAAAAAAAAATCAAAAAATTTAAAAAACCAGTTAAATTTTTGAATGATTTCTGAATTTTTAATATAGAACAAAATAATCCCTTCTATAGATTAAACTTAAAAATATTTGTTTTGTGAAGAAAGTGTAACGATTGTTAAAAAACCAGATCCCTATGGACAATCATTTCTAATACTCATTTAGAGTTATTATTAAAGATTACAACACAATCAGTTACCTTTAGAGAATGAAAAACTCTGTAATGATTGGAAAACTATTTATTTAAGAGATTCATTCTGCACAAGCAATTCTTACACGAATAGAAAAAAAGCCATAGCAAATAAAAGCGTGGAATTGATTGGTTTTAAACTGAAAAAATTCCTCCTGAACAAGTTATAGCGAAAAGAAACCTAAAACAATGCTTTATTTTGTTCAATATAAGAGCTTAAATGAAATAGTTTCTGACATGGCCTCTTCTGATACGTATTGGTTTTCAGTTTTTAAATGTGATGGTTTTTTCCTTTTAATATTTTGATAAAATTTTATTAATCTTTTTATTAAGATTTATTGAATGAAAAATTTATGCAACAAAGAAGAAAAAATTGATCATTTATATTTTGTTAACATGAAAATAAACTTATTCAGGAATCATCAATTTTTATTCACTAAATAAAAAAAATGCAAAATCATTTTACATTTCTTAAAAAATAAAAAAAAGATAAAACTTATAAAACTAATAGGTGTCCAACAACTTATTATCAGAAATTCAAAATTGGAAGTATTAAAAAAAAAAAGTATTAAACTTAAACAAAGTATTTTTTACCATTTACTTAAACCAATTGGATTAAATATTGTAAGAATAATTTACCATTATACAGTAGTGGTGTAGTGGTAGAGCGCTCGATTCATAAGCGAGAGGTTCCGAGTTTGATTCCCACCACGTCCCATAGTACCGCGCTGAACTTGTTTCTCTGCGCAGCAGCCTTGTTTGTCAAAGTTCGTGTTTCATAGTTATAGAGTTGAGAGAGGGTTCTTACCACATATATCCTCCTCATTTGTAGTGGCCTTCTTGGCCTTGGGGAGGTGAAGTACAAAATTAAAAAAAATAAAATAAAATAAGAATATATAAAAAATATCAAAGACATAGACCTACCATGACCTGTTTACAGCTATGGACAGCTAGTAAATGGTATAAAATGTCATTTTTTATATTTAAAAAAATGCAAAAATACGAATCAATGGACTAAATCGAGCTGTCAAGCCCAAGTGAAATAAGGAAAAATTTAGGAAAAGAAAAAGGATAAAATAATTAAAAATATATACTGAACAGATGTTCAGAACTAAAACAAAGATACTATAGTAAAGCGTGTAGTAAAAAATAATAATAATTTAGACACCGCGCATTTAAAAGAAATGTAATAAAAATGAAGCAGGACAAATAAATAACCATAACTCTACATTAAATACAAATGTTTAACATACTTGAAATAAAAAAACATATATATAGATATATCAGTATTTAAAATGAATAAATATAAATATAAATAAGTTTAACCTACTTTAAAACAAATATACATAGACATATCAATATTTAAAATGAAGAAATAAAAATGATAGGAGGTATAAGATAAAGAAAAAACATTGTTTTTGTGTAATCATAATTTATGTAGTGGTGGTAATAAACTTCTCCTCAGAATCACGTTTATTATTACCGGCATTTTGAAAAAGCTCAGCACCAATACCTAGTTTATCACATCAGATAAACATCATCTCTATTTATGCTTTACCCCTGATTTATGCCTACTCCATACTGCAGTAAAAAAAGACTTCACTATAAAACAGCCAAAACCCTAACCTCGCCCAAATTTGTAAACCACTAATTTTTTTGAAGAAATAATATGGATAGTGAGAGTAGTGAATTTAATACCAAATAATATAAAAAATTTAAAATAAAATAAAATATTTATAAGATAATAAGCTAAATATATAAAACAAAATATAAATAAAGTTTTTAAACAAAAATAACAAAAAACAATAAAATAAAGTGTAAATGATCATATAAAATAATAAAAATTATTCTTATAGAAAAGCACAAAAGTTACAAATATTAAACTACTAATGAGATAAGTTTTGTTAGACAAAAATATATCAAAAAATACAACAAGTTGCCAAAATTTATATTTTTTGGACAAAGAAACTCAAGCCAATAGACATGACATTATAAAAACAACAAAACCATAAAAACATTAAACGCCACCAGAGATATCTAGATCGAATGTTGCCAACCAATTAAAAAACAGGTTTTAAAACATAGTAAAACAATAAACGAACCCATTAAAACCTAAAACGCAAAAAATTACGTAAGCAGGAAAAAAAAAAACCCATATATGTATAAAAAATGACAACCCAAAAACCAACATTTTTACATATAAACACTCACATGCATACAAACACATATGCAAAGTATGCCCATGTGACAATGCAGTAATAGCTACCTAATCCAACACCAAATATTATCGCATAAATATTCTCAACAGAAAAACAATATCATACTTATATACATACATGTTCACAGACACACACACACATACCAATGGTTGTCGAAGAAAGCACTTAATGTCCGAGTACAATAAAGTCAAGTATTATAGTTATATTATATTACACCGTATCTAAGCGTTACAGTTATATTACTAGAAATCAGCATGAAAACTTCTAATCCTGAAACACATCCAGCCAACCCAGCCATACTAAAAATAACCTTTGATGAATGTAGCATCCATACATAGAATTTATATTATTTTCTGGTTCTAAAAGTTAGCTCAGATATGTACCAGAAACAAAAGCATTCTACCGCAGAAACAGTAATTATGTATGTGACTGTATCTGTACGTTATAGTTATATTACTAGAAATCAGCGTAAAAACTTCTATTCCCGAAACACATCCAGCCAACCCAGCCATACTACATATGACCTTTGATGGATGTAGTATCCAAACATAGGATTTACATTTTCTTCTGGTTCTAAAAGTTAGCTCAGATATGTACCAGAAATAAAAGCATTCTACTGCAGAAACAGCAACTATGTATGTATGTATGTATTTATGTATTTTAGTCATAGTTGTAAGTAATAGTGATAATTAAACTAACAATCAAATAGTGATAAAAATTACATGTGTAATACACTACAAACAATATAAAAAGCAACTCACAATCTAGATTAGTAAAGATAATAATATAAATATAAAATATGAAGAAAAATAATCAGCCAAAAAAATATAATTGTAAAAGCTGTGTATATAAGCCTAGTGTGAAAAAATATTGTAATAATAATTGAATGAAAAAAGATTATTGTAAAAAACATCAAAGACATAAGGCATACTATCGGAAAAATCTGCCCACCTTTTGCGGTGGGGTAAAGCTAGTTAACGGTTGTTTTTTGATGGTAGTGTTTGTATAATATAACATTTTGGCAGAAAAAAATAATTTAAAATAATATTTAGTTTCAAAATGTCAACCGAGCAAACTAAACAAAGATTTTTGATTGTGGACAAACACTTAAGAAATCCAACTTTATCGAATAGAATGTTGGCAAAATCATTAAAAATATCAAGAAGAACTGTAGATACTGTTCTTAAACGGTTTACAGAACAGAAAACTATTCAGAGAAAACAAGGAAGTGGTAGAAAAAAATGCACAGCAAATCCTAGAGCTCTCGAACGGTTGGAGACTTCAATGGAAGAACATCCTGATTGGTCTGATAGATTTCGAGCAAAAAAATTGAAGGTTTCCAATTTTTTTGAGCACAAATGGCGACAGAGACTTGGATATCAAAGTTTTAAAGTAGTTAAAATGCCAAATCGCAACGACAAACAAAATTCAACCGCAAAGAGTTGAACTCGAAAGTTGTATGAAAACTTGTTAATAAAATATAATGGATGCATTTTGATGGATGACGAAACTTATGTTAAAATAGATTTTAAACAAATTCCTGGGCAGTGTAACTATGCTTCTAAAATAAGAGGAAATGTGAGTGATAAATACAAATATGTAATGACTGATAAATTTTCGAAAAAATTGATGATTTGGCAGGCACTTTGCTCTTGCGACAAAAACTGCCAATTCATGTTTGTTTGTGAAATGAAATCTTTGGAATACATGAAATGTTGTCTTTCACGTATAAAACGACTAATTAAAGCTCATAGAAGTACTTCAGTATTGTTTTGGCCTGATTTAGCCACAATACATTACTCAAAAGATGCTCAAAAGTTTTACGGTGATAACGGAGTGATGTTGGTTCTGAAAAAGATGAATCCTCCAAACTGCCCCGAATTACGTCCTATTGAAAAATACTGGGCCATCATAAAAAAAAATTGAAATTAAGTGGAAAAACAGTAAAATCAGCTACAGATTTGAAGAAAAAATGGGATTAAGCTGATAAATTTTACAAAAATCACTCTGTCCTGAAACTTATGGGAGGCATCAAAAAGAAAGTCAGAATTTTCTATAAAATTTAATTTTTTTTTGTTTTTTCTCCAATAATATGTAATCTTTACAGTCTTAATTTTTCAGAAATATATTGATTTAAATACATTTAAGCTTTCTTACATTCTTTTTTATTCAAAAGGTGGGCAGATTTTTCCGATAGCATGCCTTAGACCTACCATTACCGGCTTTACAGCTATGACAGCTAGTATATGATATAAAATGTCATTTAATATAATCCTTAAATTTTATTGGAGGATTATATTTAGGGATTAAATACACTGCAAACTTTAAACTCCCCAGTTAACTTTTTAATGCAACCAAAGTTATTTTGTAGGTTAATTTATTACATGGCAGTGGGATCAATGTGAAAATATTTATAATTAGTAATTTTAAGAAAAAATGAATAAAAATTAGATTTAAAACATAAGAAAAAAAACTTACTGAATACACTTCCTGTGGCGCAGCCGGTATAAATGTATCTCTATGAATTAAAAATTATTGTTATATATATATATATATATATATATATATATATATATATATATATATATATATATATATATATATATACTAATACATAATACATATCATTTTAAAGTTGAAAAACTTTGAGTTTTAATTTTTTTTTTTAATTGATTAAATACTTTAAATATTTTAAAAAAAAATCTTTGATCATTATTACATTGTTTGATATTATATTATTTGATACTATTTTGTATTTTATTTATTGTTATTAGTTGTATAATAGTATTTTTATGATATATATTTTTTGTGAAATGAAATATAGTACACATTAATTTAACTCAACATTGAATGTTATGGTTTTAAAACAAAATTTACTTATTGTAAATATGGATAAATGGCAATTGGAAGAAAAAAAAGTTAAGCAGTGAGTTCTAGTTCTAAATGCAATTTGGAAAATGACACTGAAATAAATAAACAACCAAGTTTTTTAGTATTGGAACTTGCCTATCCTATCTTTAATATGATGTCATATTTTTTCTGGATTACTGGTCTGATGTAGAGTGGAAGAAAAAGTTAAAGACATTTGGCTAGTTAACAGTTTCAATAACAGTTCTTGGTTGTTATGTTTGTAAGTCAGAGAATAATTTAGGTGCTGAAAAAACTCAAGCATTAAAATTGACTAATGAGTAAACACTTGGCAAAGATTATGATGAAACAAAAGAAAAAAGCAACACTAAATGAGGAAAAAGCTTTCAAGTCATAAGCTATCAGTGGCACACAAAAAGCTTGTAAAATTATTTCTCAGTCCAAAAACACATTATAGAGATGTTTAGTTCAAAAATGCTTTAGTTCAAAAATGCTAATGATCAATCAGTACGAACTACCAACAGCATATTTTGCACTGTTTATCACATTGCAAAAATGAATTGTCCATTTTCTTCAAAATACTTTACATATTTTGGATGTATTTTACAATCTGATTGTGCATGCGCTGATATTGTTTATCATATTTCAAATAAAATGCACACAAAGCTAGTAAACTTTATACGACTTAACAATACTAAAGTAGGATTCTTGATAGATGAATCTACCAGGGATGAGCAAAAAGTCTGCTCTTTCAATCTGTTTGCAAGTGAAAACTCCAGAAATAAATATTCTGAATCATATATTTTTTGACCTTATCAAAATAACAAACACAGAAGCCTCATCTATTGCAAATTCTTTTATAAGTGCTTTACATAACCTTGGTTTTGATAATAATTTTTTATCACGTAATTGGGTGTCTATTGCTTCTAATATGTTCGGCAAAAAAGCAGGCAGGGCCCGGTTACTTTTGTATCAGTTTACTAACTTAATTTTTTGGCATTATAGCCACTGTTTAGAGTTAGCAATAAATGATGTTGTGCAAGATATTTTACCAATTTGATGCATGAAAATTTTTTTGATAAGTCATATTCCATTTATAGTGCATTTCCTAAAAACAAAAAAGATCGAGAAACTGTTGTCGTCGCTTTAAATGTAAAACTAAATTCCATTGAACAAATTCTAGGTACTAAATGGGTGTTGTCCAGCACATGATCTATGATGACTGTTTGGAATAATAATGCAGCATTGTATCAACTCTTTCACGAATCTTTGTTTCATTTAAAACATAATGGAGGAGATAGAGCCCAAAACACAGCCCTTAAAAAGAAATTATGTAATATCAATTTCATACTACATTATTAATTACATACATGGGACAAATGCTAGATGTTTTAATAGAACTAGAACATCTTTCTAAAAAGTTACAAGACAGATAAACTTTTTTATCGGATGCACATCAGCTTATCACTTCAAAATACAATTACTTTTAATCAATGAGAAATAATTCAGGTGAATATTATTTGCAAACACAGCTTGCAAGAGATAAGTTAGAATTCAAAGGTTTAAAATTGCAAGTCAGAAAAGTTTCTAAAATTAATCAAAAAAAACTTTCTTTAGTAAACTAAGCGAGAATCTTGATTCTAGAATGTTTACAACTAGAAATGGGAATAAATCGTTAGAAGACAAAGAAAATGATCCAAACAAAGAAAACTACTATAATATAACAAGAAATTTGCTAATTTTTGATACCCAACAATCATTTGTAGACCAAGATCCATACTTTGAAGTTAAAGACATCAGACAATTAGCTAAATCTTTATACATTAGTGAAAATACAGCAGTCCAAGGAATCCTGAGTGCTTTTCCACTGGTGACTGTGATAAAACTCCTAATGAATTTCACCCTCTCAGCACTGCTTGATACCTTAATTTTTTCTATAACTAAATGCAAGCGTTCTTTTTCTACTATGAATATAATCTTATCTTCTATGCAAAACTCTTTATTAATAAAAATTTAAAAAGTCAACTTTAATATTTATTACATTAGTAGTTCCACCAAATATTCATTTGGTGGAACTACTAATGTAATAAATATTTGATTTTGATCCTAAGGATTATGTCATAAAGTGGTTTGGGAAAGGGCATTGCAATGCTCATTTTGGGAATAGAGAAGTCTGGCTTTAAAGTTCAATGAAAGTAAAAAAAAAAAATTTTAATTTTTAAATTGACATTAATGAAACTTATTTAAAAATAAAATTTTACATTATTACTTTAATATAATAATTATATATATATATATATATATATATATATATATATATATATATATATATATATATATATATATATATATATATATATATATATATATATATATATATATATATATATATATATATATATATATATATATATAATATATATATATATATATATATATATATATATATATATATATATATATATATATATATATATATATATACATATATATATATATATATATATATATATATATATATATATATATATACATTACGGGTCAAAAAAACCATGGGCTGGGGCGAAAACATATTTTTGATAAATTTATCAGCATGGGAGCTCCAAAAAGGACTTTAAATCATTGGCTTAGCATGCTGGAACAAAATAAAGTACTAACTAGGAAAAAAGGAAGCGATCCTCCGACCACTATAGCGACTGCAAACAACGATGAAAAATTTCTTCAATCATCGGAAGGGCTGCTCACAGAAAAGAGTAGCTAGCAAGCTAAAAACGACTCAGCAATACGTTTCAAAGATGCTATTGCAAAGAAAAAATATCAGATGTCTAAAACGCACCGTCAAACCAAAGATGACAGCCTTACAAGTCAAGTTAGCAAGGCCAAAGTGTGGACAACTTTTCCTCAAATTTCGTGATGTCGATTTTATTTTGGATGATGAATCGTACTTCACTCTTTCCAACACAACTTTGGCTAGGAATGACCGATTTTACTCAGATGATATTCAAAAGACTCCTACTGATGTGAAGAACAAAATGAAGGCAAAATACGAGTCAAAACTACTTGTTTGGGTGGCAGTTTCACCTCGAGGAATGAGTAGTGTCAAATTTTTCAAGTCTGGCCTGGCAAACAATCAATATATTTACCGTGACGAGTGTATACGAAAGAGGTTGATTCCTTTTATTAACAAATACTATAGGGATGGTAAATACGTATTCTGGCCCAATTTAGCTAGCTCCCACTATGCAAACTCAGTCCACGCCGACCTCAGAGACAAAAAAGTCAATTTTGTACAAAAACAAGACAACCCAGCAAACGTCCCGAAAGTCAGGCCAATTGAGGATTTTTGGGGATTTTTGAAGCAGAAAGTGTATGAGAAGGATTGGCAGGCTAAAACTATCACTCAACTCAAAGCTAGAGTCAGTCTTTGCCTTCGTAATTTGGACAAAGACCTTATACACCGCACCTTCAGCTCGGTACACAAAAGACTCGATTTTGTCAGAAGGAATGGAATCGAAAAACTTTAAAAGACATTTTTTCTAACACTTAAAATTGTTGTTTATAAAATGCAAAAAACCGTTTTAAAAAAAATTGTAAAATGACTGAGATATCTTGTTTTAGAAGTTGGGCAAAATTTTAGTTGTGACCCGTTATATATATATATATATATATATATATATATATATATATATATATATATATATATATATATATATATATATATATATATATATATAACATTTTTAAATATAAAAATATATATATTAAATACACCAATTATACAAATATAATTGTTTTTTGATTGCTTAAACACACTTGATTTTAAAGACTCTAAAATAATTTGAGTTTTATCTTGCGATGACATTCTCCTAAGAATATAACTGACCTTCGGTTGTTTTTTTATTAGAGGAGTTTTACAATAGTGATACTACAGAGGTATATATTATCTTATTTGATCTACACAAAATATGAAATCTATAATATTAGTAGTATTAAGTATTAAACTAAAATAATATATTATTGTTAAAGTATTCTAACGCTTGTTTTCCTGTAATGAATATATATACTTTTGTTATTAAGTGTTACAAGAATTTATCAAAAATGTTTTAAGTATAAACCAAAATATATGTTACAAGCATATATATCAAATTAAATGTTATAAGTATAAACCAAAATATATGTTATATGCATATATATCAAATTAAATGTTATAAGTATAAACCAAAATATATGTTATAAATATAAACCAAAATATATGTTATAAAAAATAAATATTAGTCTTATAACACTTATAAGTTTTAAGGCAAAAATATGTTTTTCATAAAAAATACAGAATGAATGAAATATGTGAATTTATTTAAAACATGTTCAATAAAAATACAAAATGAATGAATGAAGTAGATGAAATTATTTTTTCGCAACAGTTGCAATAAAAATACAGAATGAATGAATAAAATTATTTGCAACAGTTTTTTTTTTTTTATTTATTTTTTTTATTTTACTTCACCTCCTCAAGGCCGAGAAGGCCACTACAAACGAGGAGGCTACTTATTTTGTGGCTATAACCCTCTCTCAACTCTATAACTCCGAAACACGAACCTTGACGAACAAGGCCGCTGCGCGGAGAAACGAGTTGAGCGCGGTACTACCAGGGACGTGGTGGGGATCGAACTCGGAACCACTCGTTTATGAAGCGAGCGCTCTACCACTACACCACTACCGCATAAGTATAGCTTGGAATAAATAAGTTGCGTCACTGTTCAAATTGTTAGAATTAAAATAAAGAAAATTAGAGTTAAAATAAAATTAGATTAGAGAATAAAATTAGAGTTAAAATAAGTATTACAAATTAAAAGTTATTACAATCATTATACTGATTTTTTTACCATTAAGCAGCGTATGAGTTTTTTACCGTACAAGCAAGAATTTTACGAAAATGAACTTTACTTTTATCATTTGAATGTTTTTATTTTCAACCCATTTTCAGTCTTATGACTCCTAAACACAAGCCATGAAAAACAATTTCGATTCTTAGAAAACCAAGTTGAATACAGAACTACCAAGAATTTTGTTTCATACCCCTCATTTACAAAACAAGCTACTACAACTCAACTACTTTATAACATAACTAAGTATAGAAATAAAACCATTAAAAATACTTCTACTGAAAGAAAAGTTATTTATAAAAAGTACAGAAAGTCAATATTTTACGAAAATTAAATAATTATGTAAAAACTTATAACCATTAAATTCAAATACCTGCCCAGTAGTAAACTCTGGTGAAAACTTAGCACGTAATAAAGTATGAAGTACTGAATGTCCTTGATAAGTCATAACAGCATCGTTTGTAAGAGAACCTTTATGTCGAAGCGCTTTAAAACAAAAACATTAAAATAGTTCCTGCAATTATGAAAACCATAATTTGGCTTATTTATTAATATGTTTTATATATGGGGAGGTTATCAGATAAAAAGGGTAAAATTCAGTACAAGAATATTTTTAGGCATTTGAAATATGGTTGGTTAAATCACATACACACACATATATATAACAGGATTCCCACTATTAAAACTAAGGCTAAAATTAAGGATTTTAAGGAGATTTAAGGAGATATTTTCCTGATATTTAAGGAGATTTGGTCACGAATGACATTTTTTTGAAAGAAAAAATAAGGATAATTAAGGAGAAAACGATAACATTAAAAACATAATCTAATTTTTTTCAATAAATTTCAAATATAAACAGAGAAATTATTATTACTTTATATAAATATATTCATAAATTTTAATATATATATATAACAAAAATAGGTTTGAAAACTATCAAAAATCTATATATTATCTTCTTTATTAACAAGCATAATCCATTCACTTTAAAAAAATTTTCTAGATAAATAAATAAAAAAATAAGGAGAAATTAAGGAGAGCAGTCAAATTTTATCTTTTTTTAAGGCTATTTAAGGACATTTAAGGAGGTTTTTTATTTTTTAAGGATATTTAAGGTTTTTAAGGAGGCGTGGGAACCCTGTATAAATGTGCGTGTAAATGAAAAGATTGCTGCCCCATGCCAAACCCTCAGTTGATGTAACAGTTCTCCGCTGCAAGTCAGGCTATTTGTCAGTTTATATATGTACTGAAGCCCACGGCAGCAGGCTATTTCAGTATGATGTCACACTGATCACCTAAATCAGCAGTATAAGATATATACATATATATATATATATATATATATATATATATATATATATATATATATATATATATATATATATATATATATATATATATATATATATATATATATATATATATATATATATATATATATCCGTGAATATTTGTACAAAAGTAATGATTATTTGATGAATATTTGTAATGATTATTTGGTGAATATTTGTACAAAAGCATTAATTAAATTTTCTTGTTAAAAAAGATCACCTAAAAATTAAAAATTACTACAAGCGTATGGATAAAATTTTAAACAATTTTATGATCAATATTTATTTCATATTTTTAAAATTTGAGAGTTATTATGTAGTTTTTAAGCAATTAACCCCAAAGATCTTCATTAACATTAAGTATGTGTAAATTTATTAGAAGAAACGACATTTGATTATATAATGAATCTTTTGTAGGGTTTAAATTTTTTTCTATAAAGAAGGCCTCATCAGTAGAAAACATTAACATTTAATGTTTTCAAGGTGACAACTGTCTTAAGGACAACTGAATGTCTTGCTTCTGATCCTAGACAGTGCTCAGTTTCTTCACATTAACCCTTAGATGCTGATCACAGATTGATCTCTTTGAATCTATTATCTCATTCTTCTTCATCATCAGAACCCCCTATCATCCTACCTCTTACAACTACCTTAAAGCTGACTAGGACTCTTTCCATGTTTTTCTTTGTGATGGCCCTTGGGTAGAAATCTTTTATCTTCCTGATGGTAAATGTGCTTCTCACATAACTTCTTGCATTCAGGTTGGCATGGAACCTAGTATTCCCTCTCGACGATTTTAAGTCACACCTCACTCTAATCCATGGTTTTGCTGCTGCAATTTCAAATCATAACCATTACTTTCATACAGGCATCTGTTTACTATTGCAAGAAACCATTGTAAAAAGGTTTTGTCTAATTCTAAAGCCTGCTATTCTCAGGTCATGAAATCTCGTGTATTTTCTCAATTATTAGGCTCTCCTGATTTCTGTAGAATTTTTACCAATATCTATAATTAGAGCAAATCTTTTATTCCACCATTCTTGCATGTTTCAGATTTCTCAGAAATACTCATCATAATCATCACTTGATTCCACTATTTGCAATCAATCTCCTAGAAATTCTCACATATATAGTGGCATTGTTCACTAATGATACTACCATTTATTCTTGTCTTGATAAGAAGCCAACACTCTCTGATTGCTTGGAGAGGGGATTTGAACTTGAAAAGATCTCACTTTTGCTACAGCATAAGGCTCCCAGTGGCTGGTAAACTTAAACTCAGATAAAACTTAATTCTTTCATCTAATTGTTATTGCATTAATCTAGATCTTCCTATATTTATGAACAATAATGTACTCCATGAGTCTTCTACCCTTTGTCTTCTAGAATTAATTCTTATTACCAATGTTTCTTGGAAACCATATATCAAATCTGTTGCAAAATTAACCTCTGCAAAGGTTGCATCTTTTTATTGTGCTCACCATTTTATTTCTAAGGATTCTATTCTTTATCTCTGTAAATCTCAAATCCGTCCTTATATGGAATACTGTTGCCATGTCTGGGATCTTCCAATGCCCTTTATCTTATAGACAAGGTGTAAAAATGCCTTGTAAACATAGTTGGGCCTGCTCTTGCAGTCAACCTGCAACCATTATCACATAGTCGTAATGTTGCTTCTTTCTTTTTTCTATAAATATTATAATGGGCACTGCATTAAATCTCTTGTGCCATTACTAAAATTCATTTTCCTGTTTGTCATTAAATTAAGTCTTATCTTTTTACTCTAAGTGTTCCAAAAATTTTTTTGTCTAGTTTTTTTCCTAATTTATATAACTTGCAATCTTTTATGTTGCCAGTAAATCTTTATCTTACTCAATAAACTTCATACTTTCTCTTCCACTAACATCTAACTCTAATAGTGGTTGCTTGCAGCCTTGTTGGAAGTGAAGATAATGAAAAAAAAAAACTTAGGACTGTAGGGTACAGTTAAAAATAAATTCCAAAAAAAATAGGTATTTCTGCAAAAGGGTTTCAAAAAGCAACAAGAAACCAACAATAATCAAGACAGGTAACATAGTGGTAAAAATCCGAAATTGCAACATTAAGAATAATTTAGAAAAGTAACTTCAAACCTAAATTATCATTTAGCAGCCCTCTTCCCCTCCCCGTCCTTCTTTGAGGATGTGTAGCAGCTAAAAAATGAAAATTAACAAAACAACATAAGAAAAGCAGTGTAGGCTAAAACTCAAAGTTTTTATTCTGATTCACTTAGATGGTTACTACTTAGATGGCACCATAAACACTCAAAAAAGTTTTAGATAAAAATTATGACTAAGAGACATACAAATATTACAAATATTATTGAACACCTCCTTTTTTTACTTTAGGTACCTCCTCTCCTTGTATGCTTTTGGCTAACCCCTCCCTCCATACCTGCATACATTGTTTAAGGATGTAACTAAAGTAAAAAAAATAGAAAACTAAAAAAATTTGGAGATAAAGTCAACTTATAGTTATAAGTCAACAAGTAAAAAAAAAAAAAAAAGAACAACTTCTTGTGAGTCAAGAAGTTGTTCTTTTGCTCTGTTTTTAGAATCAATAAAGTAATGGTAAAAAAGTTTTGCAAAAAGTTTGTTACACCATGTGGTGTATAAAGCTTTACATTTGTATCAAGTTGAATAGAATTTTATCTTTATTTAAATTAAAAAAAAAACAGCTTTTATTACGTTTTGTATATTTGTATATATTATTATGTTTTACTAATATTTATTTACTCATATTTATATACATTTTGTATATATTTATATTATATATATTTATTTTCACATTTTGAATAAATACAAGCAAAGTAAAAATTGATAATAAAAAAATTATTTAACTACGCCTTTTTTTTTAATTTTAAGTTTGAATAGAACATGGTTCAAAGATAGCATTATTAGTTTAATATATAGCAATACATTATTATTATTCAGCATTACCTGATTTATTAAACAAAATGCAAAATATAAATAAAAAATTTGTGTTGTCCAACTATGCACCTCTTTTTTATCTAATAGACAGGCATAGATCATAGAGCTATTGTTTCTTGCCTAGAATGATAAATTATGATCTACTTATGGATTTTGTTTTGTACCTTCTTGCTAGTGGGTATACATTGCTTCTTGTTATCTCCTAATGACAGTTCAGCTCTAAAAGTTTAATGGTTCTAAGGTTAGTAAAGTTTCTTAAACTCTGTGGTAGCTCTCAAAGAGAATGATTCAATCAACAGCTGCAATGTATCGACATATAACCATGTTGTTCATATCATATATATGTCATAACTTTGTTACGACTTTGATTTGATTAGACGAAATAAGGTAACTGAATAAATTTATAATCGAATAAAGCTCTTTATAATTAAAAAAAAGGTAAACCAAGAAATCAACATACTGTTTTAATCAACCCTTTATAAACATTTGTGGTCTTAAAGGTTTTTATCAATTGAAGCTTACCTCTTTCAAAACTACCAGACCTGAATTCCTTTTGTGAGGCTATCTCTGTGTTGATGCCTAAATTACTTGTTCTAACATTGGTACATTTTTGTAATATCTTTTTACAAAATAATTTAACTAGTTTATCCAAGACTCTCAATAGTAAGTGAATCAACTTTCAATATGATACATACTTACATCTTCTTGGAGCTTTTTCCCAGCGATAGTCCCAGCTTTGATTAGCTACTAACCGACGAAACTCCTAAAAATAAGCCAAGTTAAAATAATAATTTTAAATTGAAATAAATTTAACGCGTGGAAAAATTCTAAAATTCCTTTCTTCACTTTAAATTACCTTTATTGTATTTTCTGATGAAAATCGTCGACTATCCCATAATTTAATGCTCTGATCTTTTGAGTTTGTGATAAAATGTTGACCGTCTCCCTTTAATTAAAAATATAAAATGTTGACCGTCTCCCTTTAATTAAAATATAAAATGTTGGTCATCTCCCTTTAATTAAAATATAAAATGTTGGCCGTCTCCCTTTAATTAAAATATAAAATGTTGGCCGTCTCCCTTTAATTAAAATATAAAAAACAACAGTTTCTGAAACAAACAAGTTCTGAAAACTTTTATTATTTTGTAATTTTTATTTTAGAAAATAGGTAAAATGGATTTCTGAAACCAACTTCAAAAACTTTAACACCTGAGTACTTTATGGTTAAAATGTTATTGTTTAGCAACTACCAATTATAGATTTACCTATTATAATTTAGAAATCACAGAGGCCTATATTTTTTAAATGATATAATTAATGATTCTTTAATCAAAAATTTGAATAATAAATTTTAGAAATTAATAAAATTAATTTATAGAATATAATAATACTAATTTATAATGTAAAAAACCTTTTCACAAACATATGTGATGCCATCTGTATGACCTGCAAAACAACCTACAGGCTTAGGAGATTCCTTAGTCATTGTGCGTCTATCCCATACCTAAAAAATATATTAAAAAAAAATAAAATTCTCAACCAAAAAAATAATTTAAATTTAAAAGACTTTATGTACCAATTAAATATTACTAAATATTGTTATTAAATTAATAATTTAATTAAAAAACTAAGAGTTGCAGCACTTTGTTATATAAGAAAACGTGAACGAATGCGTATCCAATATCTAATGGACATAAACTTAAGTTAAGTAATGTTAAAACATGTTAAAACATACTGAAACATTTATCAAGTTTTACAGCTAGATTTTCACTTGAAAATTACATTGTGTCAAGCTCTCCTTAATTTTGATCGATAACATTTTTTCTTTAAAAAAATCATTACATTGTTTTTAAAATATTTGCATGAGTATGTGCCAGTGTGGCCGAGTGGATAAGGCGCTGATCTCCTGAACAAGTAAGTTGAGGTTCGATTTCTTCCAATGGTGGCTTTTTTTTAATTTTTTTCGATTATTTTAAAATACAAAATAATTTTGAAGTTTTATGAAGATTATATACAAAAATATGTAACGTAAGGGTATTATACACTTTCACAAGAGAAAAGATTTTAAGTAAGCTAAAATTTCTTAAAACATCAACAACAACAAAAAACATCACCAGGAAAAAAAATTTGTTGGGTATGTATGATGATTGAGACACTTAGGTTATTAATGTGCTCAGGTAATTATTCCTAATAAGCTGTGGATGGTCTGAAAAAAAAGTTGTCTGAAACTTAATAAAGAAAAAATTATATTAAATAAATAAGAAAGTCCTGCTACTCAAGAAGGTGCTGCTGTGGAGGCAAACAAAAAAAGAAAAAAGCCCTAGCTAAAAAAAAATGTAAAACTTTCTTTTGACAATGAAAAGCTTTTTTTGCTACATTTATTTTTTTACCATGAATACATGTTGCAGCTGTTTTTCAAAACGCCTTAATTTACTTACTACATATTTCGAGAAAAATGCCACGGCTGTTTCAGAGTGAGCTTTACAGCTTCTTGTTTTTTTTTTTGAAAATTTCAACGTAAGGGGTGTTACTAAAATATTTATATATAATAATTTGTTTTTTATAATAATTTATATTTATATAAGATAATTTTGTTTTGTAAAAGGAATAAAAACAACAATAAAATGTTTTATCATATGACATTTAATACAATAGTAAAAAAACTTCTTTTAGTTTAAAAAAAACGAGACAAATGATGAAATTGGCTGAACTTTATTAATTTGTTGTTACTTATCATCAACAAAAAATTTAGAATATATACTTCAAATATTTATTAACAAGTTATAAACATTATTAGATCATTATAAAAACAAAAAAAAAATAATACTCAAACTTTATGTTAATTGAAACAGAGATAAATAAGTCATAAAACAAAATCGCAAAAAAATATTAAAGAAAATGTTTTAAACGTAAACAAAAATTTACGCGAAAAACTAGAAAAAGTTGCTAAACATGCCAAGTTTGAAAACATATTCGCTAACATAGCAAAGGTACAAATAATAATTTTTATATTTTCATCTGCATAAAAGATTTTCATTAACTTACGTCATTCATCAATAAAATTATATTTTACATTTAAAAGAGATAAATTTAAATGTATAAATGCATTAAAAACTGAGTTATAGTAAAAAAATCACCAGGATGACGTAGGAATCTAATAGAATAGACATTCATTGATAAGTGTTCCGAATTTCGACCATCAACCATGTAGCTATGTTAGCGAATCTTGGTTGGTCCAAGACAGGTTTTCTGTAAAAATCGCGAAAAACAGAAAAGTGATCCAAAATCATTAAAAATATTTTAACAATGTTTACTTTTATTTTGTTTAACGTAAATATTTACTTAAGAAAGAAAGATTGTTCTTTTATATTTTTTTTATTCAAAGATGAAAGCATTTATAGAAAAAAATACTATTAATTTAAAGTTAGTGAATTTTTATACTTTTCATGCGTAAATTCTTTTTTTTAAACACAAAAATTCTTGTGACGTCAAGCTCGCTTTTATAATGAGTGAAACAGCCGTGATACAATAAAAAAAAAAAATTAAAAATTAACTCTTTGTTAAACAATTTTTTAAACAAATAATTTTAATGAACTTTTTCAGAACTCTTTGAAAATATGTATTCAATAATGCTTGAAGACATTATAAACTAGCTTATTTTGTAAAAAAAGTCAAAAATGATATTTTTAGCTTTTAGGCGTTTTGAAAAACGGCTGCAGTATGGATGATACAACAAATATCTTAAAATGAGATAATTTGACGCCAAATTTAAAAGCTCTTAACAAAAACCACTAAACCAAAAAAATGAAAATTAATTGTTAAAAAATTTTATTAGAGTGAAAATTTTTATTTTAGCGAATAGAGTAATTGTTGTTCAAAGTTTTATTATAGCACTTAAAAATTTTATTATAGAGCGTTGGTTTTTGCAAAGAAACGCTATATAAATCATTTTTTAACTTTAATATAAACTAATTTTTTTTAAAACTTTGTTGCGCTTAGTTATCTCTATGTAAACAATGTATATATAAACATATATATATGTTTATATTTAACAAATAGCATATATGCTATTTGCTTATATATATTGTTTATAGAATGTAAAAAATCCACTTATATAACGTTTTATTCAGGATCGTATGTAAACTTTTTAAATAACAAGTCTTTTTTGCTTAAGCTGTTTTGTTTTGATTTTCGTAGTTATGTTATTATATTTAAAAAAAATTGACAAGATTAAAAAAACACGAAACTTATTGTCACTTCCAAGTGGAGAATTTGAAACTTCAACTTTAGATTTGCTCCTCTCTCGATAATTTCTGATTTCTAAAGTTATGTCATCTGCTTGTTAGACCATTAAAAATAATAGTCATAGAAATAAGATTTTATTTCAATTTTTTATAAAAAATCTGATTTTTTATAAATCAGAAAAGGAAGTCACTTTATAGATTTTTTATTTTAGTTTAATTAACATGAAAAACTATGTAAATATGTGTTTTTAAGAATATAATGTATGAGAATATTTTTAACTTTATTTTTCAAAGGTGTAGCACCAGATTCAAACATCATTGCGAGATAAAGTAATTTTTCGGGGGGTTTAAATTGGGGGGGGGGGCAGGATTATATGATGCCCTTTTCATGGGGGTATAGGGAAAAAGGACAACCGGTGAGAATGGGGTCAAAAATTGGCTAAAAAATGATGACGTCCTTTATGAATGGCCCCAAAACTATCTATTTATTACTATTGTAATAAATACAATCTCTTATCCATGAAAATGATATATTTGTACCAGTTTTATATATTTTAATGCATTTGTATGCAACATAATAAAAATTAATAAAAAAATGTAAGATAAAAATGTAAGCAAAAGGAAACTTGATGCATAAAGGTTTACATTGCCACAAACTGATGTCAAATCCCCAAAATCATTTTGGCTTACCTTTTAGATAAGCGTTTAATATTATTCTTTTAATTCTTAATCATAAGAATTAACTTTTTTTTTTATGACATTAGTTTGGTGCTCTTAGATCTTCTTAATTTCATTTGTATAGCGTTACATACAAATTTATGTAAGTGTAAATGTTGAGTTTGCAGGCATTTTATGGAATAACCGTGTATATCTATATCTATAAAATGAGAAAATTTGAAAATTTTATTTTAAATTTTAGAAATCTTTTTTTCTATATTCTTATTTTTTTGTTATGAATATGTAAGCATGATTGAAAAAATTTTAAAACTTATTACGCTAAGAGGAGGTTTTAAACCCCCTAAAACAACACTGATGACAGCGCATTTAACCACTGCGCTATCAATGAAATGCATTTAGCAGAAAAAAATTTTATGATCTCTATGTATGTATGAAGGAGGGGCATGTTAAGTTTTTTGCTCTTAAATTTTTTTTTCAGAATAAATTATTTTACTAAAAAATATTGAAATAAATAAGGAATAGGTATAGAAATTTTCGGCTAGAAGTAGATATGTAAATTGGTAAAGACCTGTATTTTACGGATCCGGAAAGCTAGGATATATAAGGAAAAAATATAGAAAAGATTGGTTTGGAATAGATATACAAAGACCCGTATTTTTAAAGGGCTGATCTCAGCTAGTTTAATATTATTACTTTAATAATATTGCTAAAATATTAAGATTTTAATTTAAGTGTTAAATTAATATATTAATTTAAGATATATTAATTAAGATATCTTTAATAATATTGCTATATATATAATTATAAATTATCATATTATTTTTGGTGCACTAGTTAACTTGTTTAATTTAGTGCTTCTGGCATATAAATGTGTTATAAAATTTCATACATTGACACATGAACTAAAGCAATCTAGCATAGCAAAAGATACTACTATTGCAGAAGCGATTGAATAACTAGCAGTCAAATTTGAATGGAATAAAGCATTTGTACCAACATTAACTTCTTATGTCCTACAGATCATTATGGAAACTATGACAAGTATAGATATTTACTGAAGCCTTTTATCAGTCAACAGATAAATGTTAAGTACCAAGTTATTCCTAGCAATTTTGAAGATAAAAATAAATTATTTTTTTTGATTTTGTAGCATGCAAAAGTGATTTTGCTTTACCTGCATCTAGGGAAATTGTTAATAAGAAATAACCAAAACAAACTTAAAAATGAACAATACAATGCATTGCATGAACATGACATTACCCATGCTAATAATCTTAATGTAAGACCAGGTCGTGTTGTCATATTGCCTTCATATGTTGGTAGTCCAAGAGCACTAAAAGTAAACTTTAAAGATGCGATGACAGTCATAAAGAAATATGGTAAACCAGATCTATTCTTTACTTTTACCTGCAATCCAAAATGGAGAGAAATAGTAGAAAATTTAAATCCAAGCCAAACTGCAAATGATAGACCTGATTTAGTTTGTTAGGTATTTAAAATGAAACTTAAATCTTTCTTTGAGGATATTTTTAAACATGGAGTCTTAGGCAAAGTTATGTCATGTGCAGGTTATATAGTTTCG